TTTGTCAATCATTTTGATAAATTCATAAATGTGACACTCTAATCACATCACTGAATTTAAATGGCAACAATTAAACAACAATAACAATCATTTAAACTCCATGTTGACACTCAAGCTGAATGAGGTAACATGTGCATGGAATAGTGAGCCGCGAATCTCAAGCCGAAAAGAATAAGCTGAAAGTGGAAATGCTAAGCCGAACATCTTGTGACTTTCGTTTCATCCTGATGTTACCTTGTTCTTAATGAGATTGAGGAACCATTTTTTTCCTCAATTTTTGTTTTGTTTCTTTATTTTTTCATTTTCTTTTTGTTAATTACTCAATTTCAATTCTAATGTTGATTCATTTGAACAGTGACTTTTGAGAAAAGTGTTTTCCTTTTCTTTATATTCTACTTGTTGTTCTCTCTGTGTTTTCTTTTGGGAATTATGTCCAACAACAACAAGGAAAGGACCAATCGAAGTGGTGAAGCAGTTAAACAGATTCGCCAATCTATTGAAGATGATTACAGAAAAGATCCAGGTCAGTTATTTTGGTTAATTTATTAAGTAAATTGTTTCATTATTTCTCTTCCGTCTCATTTGATTGGCCTTCTTTTCGGATTCCGATTAATTTGATTACTATCGTTTTGCTTGTTTATCCCTTTGGTGACGTTTATTTGTTTTCTATTCTATTCTTGTTTTCTTTTTTTTCTGGTCCATTTTGTTTTCTATTTTGTTTCTGTTTTTTGGTAATTGTGTTGTGATTATCTTTGGTTTTATTTCTTTTTTATTTTACAGATTTATTCGATGAGACTGATTATAAGCGAGTGTTGAATGATGATTGGTTTGTGAAGAGATTTTTATTGATTTCTAAAAGGAAAGTTGATCTTGGTTATAAGGCGTTAAGAGCTGCTCTTTGTTGGAGAAAAGAAATGAACCTGAGATCAATGAAAGATTATAATTTCCCTGTTGAAATTTTCACTAGCAGTTTACTTTTTCCTTATGAATGTGACAGGGAAGGTCACCCTGTTGTCTATCTTCGTGTTTCTAAGTATCGAAAGATACCAGAGATGGAAAATATTCTTCGACAATATGTAATCCATTTGCTGGATAAAATGGATTCTTTCACTAATGGAAATGGTATCGGTATGATCTTTGACCTTACTGGTGCTTCTACTTCAAGTATTGATTGGACCTTTTTGAAATATTTCACCGACACTGGAACCAATTACTTTCCCTATTCCATCAAGTATGTCCTCATCTATAATCTTCCCTGGTATTTAAACGCCATCCAAAAGGTTGCCCTTTCCTTGGTACCAAAGGAGAACATGGGAATCATCAAATTCGGCAAAGGACCACAAATTTTTGATTATGTCGATGAGAATAATTTACCTGATTTCCTGGGTGGATCATGTACTCGAGATTATCGTTACTCTCCTAAAGGTGCTCCCAAACTGGAGGAAATGCTGTTGAAAGCTGATGAATTAAATAATCAGCAAATTGACAAGATTGTCTCAATATTTACAGAGATGTCGATACCTGATAAAGAAACCGAGGGTAAAACTTATATCAATCCAACAAATATGTATGATGAGAAAGCAAATGACAATTTAATCAAAACAACAGCTATTGAAGTTACACAAGAAGCACCAGAAATGAACCAAACCTACTTGATCATTGAACCAAATCAGTTAATATTTTCTGATAACTTGGATAATGAACATTTGTCAAGTCAACTGTTAATCCATAATATCTGTGATAAGGTGATTGCCTTTAAAATCAAGTCCAACAATAGCCTAAAATACCGAGTGACCCCTGCAATTGGATTAATTTTACCCAAATCAACATTTAAAGTTAATCTTGTCCGATTGATTGGACTCGAAGGTATCGTCCGAAATAATAAAATTGACAAAATTTTGATTGAAAGTCAACCCGTTACTGTAAAATCAATGACTGGTTCAGAATTTTACAATCTATGGTGCAATCAGGATGAAGAAAATAAACAATTGATCAAATCTCATTGTATTACCTGTAAAATTAACAAAAGCTCAACTGGTGAGAAAAAGAAAGTCCATCGAGTCCATTTCAAGGCCCGTGAAGATGAACAAGACTCGAAGAAGCAACAGCAACTCCATATACACCAACGAATGGCAGTTCTTCAGAAAAAATATATTTCCTTCGAGAGTCAACATAATAAAACTTCACTCATATTCAGCATCACGATAACATTTTTCATCATAATCATGTCCTACTTTCTGGCCACTCATTCGGACCTCAAAACTGTTCGTTACCTACGAAACAACGCAACCTTAATTTCATCGGACCAATAATCTGTTAATCTTCAAATGATTGATTTACCTGTTAGAATGAACAAAGAAATTACCTTTTGATTAACTTAAACATTTACCATGATGAGGCTACAATTTTTTTGGACAATTAACTCACTTACCTTGACCATTCAAAGCAAATGATAAATTGTCGAGAGGCTGAATCACTTATTTTGATCGTTAATTCAATTGTAGCTGATGTGACGAGCAACCAATGTTTAATATTCACGTTTCATGGGACTAAATCAAGTGATCAAGTGATAATTAATTAAATTGTAATTTAAGGAGTTTTTTTTTCTCTCAAAAATTTGCTTAATCTAAAAGTTAATTACTTGTTTAGATGATGAGAGGTCACAAATTTTCATACTCACCTTGAAACTTTTTTGATTATTTGGATTATTGTAAATTTTGATCAATGGATTGTGATATTTGATTAACTACAATCAACCAATTAATCATGTAAAAGTAAACAAGCTATAGCAAACAAAAAGTTTAATCAACTCAACATGGAAAACAATAATTACCAAGCAGTTTGATTACCAATTATCCTTCAATTAACTAAATCAATTTCTTTAATTTTTGTCATATTTTTGATTTTCTTTCTCTTCTAAATCAGTCACAAATTTTAATCACTTTTCTTTGATTGTAATTTCTTTTTCTTATCATTTCAATTAATATCATTTACGTTTATTGTTAATTTTTGTATTTTAATTGTACGATTATCTTTAATTTCGTTATATTGTGTAACTGAAAAATTAATAAATCAGTTGTTGATTATTAACCATTTATTCAGAAGATTGATAACTTTATAATGATTAACTGTTAACAGGAAGATGATGATAACAATTATCCGAAAAATATGAAACAGTTTTTTGTACAATTAATATTAAATCAGCAGAGTTAATTTTTCAAGCTAAAATTAAAACATATCGATATGAACACAACAATCGGGAAAATAAAATAACGAAGTAATCACAATAAATTACAATTAAAATAAACAATTAAATAAATAATTAAATAAATATGATTGGTCAGGTTGATTTGACATTGATGAAAAGTTAAAAGTTTCGCTCTGGTGGGAAAATTACAATTAAATTATTGTTAAGATGAGTGATAACAATTAAGTTGATGAATGATTTTTTTCCTCATCAAATAATTTTAATCCACTTACTTGGATAACCATTAACAGTTTACTTGATTCAGTCTTTTGATTAAATTTCAACAGGAAAAAAAATGATCTATTGTAATGATCAAGTGTTAAATTGTTAATTGTGCAGTAAAGTGGTTAAATTATTCACTTCTGGTTGATTATATTTTCTGAAGATGATTATTGGACTATAATTAGTGAATTTTGATGAATTACGAATGTATTTTTTGTTAAATGTCTCCTTTTCTTATTCAGGTACTTAGATAGATTCAGGTGATTTAGTAAATTGTCATGGAATGGAACTGGATTAAGGTCGTTTCAGGAAATTTGTTTTCAATAAGAAGAGGAAGAATAAATTTTCATGATTAAATTTAGTTGACTTGGAATGATGATTGTCATGATTCTTTGTTAATTTCTCAGTCTCTGTTGTTTTTGATTCGTTTCTCCTTCATCACGAATTGCATTTGATATGAGATGACAAGGTTTACGTTTAATTATCTTAAAGTTGATTAGTTTCCTTATAATTCACTTGCCATTCGATCAACAGCATTTGAGATTTTACCCTGTAACAAAGGATCAGTGGACCAATAGTAAAGGGGTGGACCAGGGGAGAAACAATATTTACGATGCAATTCATCATCTCCATCAACCCAATACATTAGGTAAAAGTTACACATCTCATCATCACCGGTAGATCCAATTGAGACCATAAAAGGTAAATAATTATCCATTGTACATCGAGCTGCGACAATATCACCTTGTTTGATGACAATCGATTCTTCAGAAATTGGATAAAACATCTAATAGAAAAAGAGAGAGAGAGATTATTGAGTTAATTGTATCTATTAAATGGTTGTTAACAACTTTGATTGTTGGGATTTTTTTTCTCTCTTTTCTATTATATTTTTGACAAGTGATTTGATTAACAAGATAACAAGGTAACATGGAAACAAAACAGATAGAAAATTTGACATTTTGAAATGATAATAACAGGATACGGATGATGAATGAAGTGGAGAATTGATCAAGATTAAATTGATTGTTACCTGTGGTTTTTGAGGGTCATGTTTACCGATTAATTGCCAATTTCCATCTCGCACAAACCAACCTGACACAACTTTACCCAATTTATGGGTATGGGTACGAAAAGCGAATGGGTGTAATTCAATGGGTTGAGAGATGGTACAAGTTGTTTCCATGTGTTCATATGAATTTGCCGGAATCAGACCACTGGTCCCAAGGAGCAGGACTCCAGCTCGTTTGGTGACAATATTGGCATGACCTGGAACCATGGAAAGTGTTATACCCGATGAATCGGTTTCCCCGGCAATAAATTTATCGACATGAGCATAATGGACTTGTAATACTAGGAAATTGATGTCGGTCCCTTTTCCAACCTTAAATCCAACCGATTGAGGTAATATAAGTTCCGGTGCATCCATAGCCCAAGCATAAATGATTGATGAAGCTCCAGAACAGACAGATGATCGTCGATATGCTGATTGAGTGCCCGAAGAACTGGACATTTCACCACAATCCCAAACAGCTCGAGGAGTATCTCTCTCATAATAACCCGGCACTTTACACCCATAGATTAAGATATGATGAGCTGTGGCCATGGTGGCATTTGGAAGAAATTCAATCACATATTCGGTCTCTTTTTGGGGCATTTTAAATGCTGTACACAAATAGGTGTCTTTCTGTTAAAAAAAAGAAAAAAGAACAAAATTAAATAGAAGAAAATTAAAAAGAAAATGGCTGCTTGTTATTAAAAATGATCCACAACTTAAGAAACTCATGACCAGCAGAGCATAAAAGGTCAAAGAGCTTTAGAATATTTTGTTTCATTTCTATTAGATTTTTATGGATAAACAATTAAAAATTAATTCACCACAGACATTTACACAAATTGTAAAGATAATCAATCAATAATCATCGATTATAAATGACATAGAAAAGGTTAAGTAATTGGAAAGAGAATAAAAAATGATGCTGGTTAAAGGTAAATATTGGCTATCCAACAATATGGAGAATTATAGAAATTAGAATGGAACATTTAATTGACAAAAAAGGTGATTAAATTAATGATATGGTAAGGAATTGGTGAAGGAAAGAATCTGAAATAACTTAAAGGTAATTGAAACAATTAAATTAATTAAATTAAGGTGAAAATCTTACCTGAGTTGGCTGAACATTGGGCATTAACATAGGCAAATGTTTCACCTGAAAGCCAAAAGATGACTGGAATAGACAAACAATAAGAAAAGTCCATCTCATCTTAGGATAGATTAAATTACCACAGTTAATTAAACTAAAAGAGAACATGGTTAAATTGTGGAAATAAATTAAAAATGGTAAAATTGGTTAACCATTTAATTGTTAACAATTTTGTGTCTAAAAGGGAAAATGAAACAATCACTTAGAATTCATGTTCTGTAACAAGTGTCAACATCACTCATGAGCTCTAACAACCAGATGAACAACATTTGCAACAATTGGAAACCAGCAAAGTAAAAAGATGAGATTCTGTTATTGAAACAATTTAGATTAAATTGTTAACAAATTAATCACTGGAGCTCAACAACCATGGAACAATTTAAAACATGAACAGTGAAAGATGAACAATCAATTTTGTTTCAATTCTTCACCAATCTTTAAATTACCTTTGAGTTTTTTTCTTCTCCTTCTTCCTCTTGATCACAATTAAAAACAAAAGGTTAATCAATGTTAACTGAATTCACTTTCCAATTGAAATTAATTTAAATTCCCGTGAATTTGGTGTTCACAATTAAAGTTAATCTCAACATTAATCCCTCTCAAATTGTTGTCGTCAAGGTAACAGTTGATGAGAATTGTTTTTGTTGGTGAAATTGTTTCTCTACTAATTGTTGACTTGTTTTTTTCAATTCTTTTCCTTTGATTTATAAATTGTTCCTCTACTGGTGACAATTAAAGATCCACTGGTGACTGGTGATCGATTAAATTGATTAAATCCAATGGAAACTCCGTTTTATTCAACTGCCAATGGATTTGTTTATGAGCCATCAGAAGATAGTTTCTTATTGTTAGATGGCTTGGAAAAAGATTTACAATTAATTAAAGATGCAAGGTAAGTGTTTAATTGTTGTATCAGTTTCATCACAATTTAATTGTTTCTCTCATTAACTGTTTATTTGTCTTCTAAAGACCTACTATTTGTTTGGAGATCGGTGTTGGTTCGGGGATTATTACGTCGGCTTTAAGTAAACACCTTGGTGTCAATGGCTTTTCTTACTTCATGTTAGTAATTGTTTACATTTCTATTCACAATTAAGTATAATTGTTGCTGTTGATTAACAAGAAAACTAATCCTGGTGATAATCTTTTCAGTTGTACTGATGTTAATCCGAATGCTGGTATCGCTTGTAAAGAAACATTTAACCTCAATAATCTCATTTATTCACCTGAAATTGTGTTAACCAATTTAATTGATTCATTGGAACATCGATTACAATCTAATGTTGATTTAATTGTCTTCAATCCACCTTATGTGCCTACAGATGATTGTGAGGTGAGAGAATGAGCAACAATTAAGCTTAATTGATTGAAAATTTTTTCTTACGATATTCTAATTGTTTTTGTTTATTTCTTTTTAGATTGAAAGTGACAATTTATTGACCAAATCATGGGCTGGAGGAATCAAAGGTCGTCGAGTGATTGACAAATTTATCGAAACAATAATCAATGTAATTGCTGATGATGGATTAATTTATCTCTTATTAAGCCAAGAGAATCAACCGGATGAAGTTATTGAGATATTGGAAAAAGTAAACATCAAATTAGATGAAATTGTTATCAAAAGAAAATGTCTCAATGAACATTTAATTGTTCTCAGATTTAGAAAGAAAAAATCACAACAATTAACTCAATCCATAGGAAAATTAAAAATCTCCTAAATCATCAGCTGATTTGACAAAATGATTAACACTTAAAGTGAGAGAGAAAAACAAAACAAAACAAAACCAGTTACCAGCTGAAATTATACTAATTAAAATGAATCTTAACCAAACCTGTTAAACCTTAATGATCAACAATGGAGACAAAAGTTAATTCATAAAACTGATTTACACTAATTGTTACCTAAATCTATAACTATTGAGAAAAGAAATCAGAAAACATTAACAACCACAAGAATCTGAAAGAGAACGTAAAAAAACTCAACTCAAGTGATTTTCGAGTTATGGGTAAAAATTACCCATAATAATCACTCGAATTTAAGTTAATCACTCAAAAAGAGATTAAATTAATTTCGATTGACAATCAAGTTTCAATTTGAAAAGTTTTCAAACTCACACGAAAAAAGAATAACAAAAAATAACAAAAGATGGAGCCAAAGTCGTTCGGGTCTAAATGTAGACAGAAATTAAAATCATTGACATTTTTGTGTAAACACTAAACTAAACATGTAATTGATTTGACAATTTTCGATTAAATTAAATGATAGTTTTGATATTTATCCAATTTAGTGGATAGTCTTTATTTTACAAGTGATTAATTGTTATCCTACTTTAATCTAATCCAAAGGGATTCCAAATCATCTTCAAGTAAGAAACATGAGGTAAGCGGTCTCATTGTGGATATTACACCTTTTCTCG